ATCAGTAAAGAAGACAGCGCCACCTCACCTTCTGGCAAAGTGTTCACAATCACAGTCTGCACAACTTCGTGCCATGACAGCACTCGACTTACAGTCGAAAGTTGTGTGGTCTTAACGTAAACATTTGTCGTCAGTTGACTGATAGCACCACCGGAGTTAATGCAATAATCTTCAACATCACCATTAGCAGAAGATACATGCTGATAAGCACATGTTGACCGAACAAGTCACGATACTCTGTCATTTCCGTTCATAATCACTGTGTCATTCCTGGTTATTACACCAGAGACATTTGCCGTTACTCGTTATCTATGTTGTCGTTTTCAGATGTCTTTAAGCCGAATCGTGATGCATCCCGTAAGACTGAACGTCTCGCATCATATCAGTACAAGCAGAAACTAGTTCTCTATATGGTACTTTACTTATCTTCATAGAAGCTGTAGGCCATTGAGGTCTATTTTAAGGGTTTGGTTTGAACACAGGAATATTATCTCTGCCTTCTTCTGTATACATTTTGGGTATAAACAGGGTGTCTAAGTTGTTTTATGACTCACCGAAACACTCATAGCATGAACGTGGACGAAACAAATAGAATCGGATATCGACTTTATAAATGGACTCCACTAGTGGAATAAGCAATATATTTGAATGAAAGCTATGAACTGTAACAAATAATAATAGTAATAATAAGCAAAAGAAAAGAAAAAACTCCAATAGGTATAAGGGTAAAAGTCACTCTTGGTGAGAAGAAGAAGCATTAATGCAAGTTTGTTCACGGTAGGAACAGCGTCTGGACGTGTTCTTTTTGGATACAAAGTTCCGGTTTAGTCGAATTTACTGCAACAGCCTCAGCTATGCGTAACAGATGTAGGTGAACTGTGTGTGATAACGACTTCAGAATTGGGTTTATAACCATGAAGGCTATGTAAGCGTCGGTGTGATGCTCAGTATCGACCAAGTGTGACAGAATCGAGGTTTTCATGTGTTTAATTTCCTCCTTGCTGAACCAAGCTTTTTGGTGTTCTTGAAAGCGTGGATGCAACCACTTAATCGTGCTCCTTATATTACTTGAACCACAGGAACAGCTGAAATGGTATATGCACGAAGAAGAGCTAAAATTAAGTTAAACATCTTTCATTTGTTGGGCAAACACTGGACGGTTAGTGAGTGATAGGAACAGGTGTAAAAAGTAAAGTTCAACTGTAAAGGGCATTGTTGTTGATAATGGTGTTAGAATAATAGGCTAACTGATCGATTAGACAGGAAATTCGTTAGCACAACTACCAAGTGCAATAACGGTCATATAAGGCCTTTACTTGGTTGGCCAATGAATCTTTGACTTAACATCCGTCGTTCAGTGTCGCCTGAGTTAAAATCGAGCTGGTTATTTTATATGTAAAGTAGAGTTCTGGATACCGGAGAGATGTTTTCTAGCCACCGTAAATTATCTTGATGCCGTTACTTACGATGAATGTGCGACTAATCACGTCAGTATTGTCTCGACTACCTAATAGATCACTCTTTCACAGAAGCAATAAGTTAGAGTGAGTGTCCCTCACACAGCCGGAAATGACAATATCTTGGTATTATTAGCGGTGAAAACTCTACATCTTTTCCTCCCCTAATTTGTCCAATCACAACGACCGATGCGAAGAAATTAACATATGGCTGAAAATGATGAGGAAATAGCTGTGACTCCTCCTATTTTGCGTTTACAAACCTGCACCTATAATACGTGTCTGTCCACCTTAGGTTTTATTTCAAAATATATCAACTTAGATATTGGCAATAGCGTTTCTAATTTTTCATGATATAAAGCAAGTGATTCCTGAGAAGAGCATTATGAAGCTACCACTGTTAACAATCCATCGGTAAACTTTAAGGATTTTCATCGGTTTGGTTAAGCCTCCTGAAAATACCAAGTGTACTTTCGACTCTGCGACTCTAGATCGGAGTTCAGATTTACACGAAAACATGTGCCCCCTGATCGCACGCAGGAACTGACGAGCACAGAAAAGAATGAGAGTAAACTTATTCGCCACAAGAATAGTGGAAAGGTGAATAATGCGGCTGGTGAAAGACTCCAAATACCTAGTTGACTAATGTGTTTTCCCTCGATGAAAAGAAAAGTAAGCGCAGGGACTAAGAATGCCAGCACCACATTTGTAGCAGACATTGCAGCTCAGACAGTGAAAGATGTGAGAAGATATGTCCTAAAAGTGTTAAGATTCTGTGAGAGTAGAAGGAATGTGCGCGGACTCTCCAGATTGATAAATGGGAGTGTCTTATCTATGAAAGATAACAGCCCGCTGAGAGTTGGGACATAATAAAACTAGCAATGGCATCTAAGGCTTTCATAGAGTTTGAATTGCTCTCCTCTATGACACGACGGCAAAATTCAACAAAGAGGAGGAGAATTTAGGAGTGTAAAAAGCTACAGACGACAAAAACAAAATGGGGAAGAACTTCTGCAGATAACTGCCGGCAGTAAGGAACAAAATCCCGAAAAGAGACGTCAAATCCCTAGAGGGTGATACGGATGTCAGACTGGGAGCGGACAATTAAAAAGCGAAGTCGTCATATGTGGAGGGGCTTTCGGTAAAATAAATCATAAGGGATCACGCTATGCTGACTTTCACGTTTTTAATGACCAGTTGAATAGAGACAGCGGAACATCCCCATATTAGGTGAGTTTCATCAGATGGATACAGCGAAATTCATATACACTTGAGCATAGTCTCAGGATATTGGAGGTGAAGTTTGCTGGACGCAAAGCAGGCAGAGGATGAGTCTTTTTAGATTACTGTCTAGTGCAAGAGATTTTCAATATTAAGTTGAAAGCCTTCAGAGAACTTGGAAACATTACAACATTACAAAAAGCAGCCAGTAAACTGTAGTGTGGCCATATGCAGCTTAGGAGTATGGAGTACTTCTGATGCTGTCAAGTATCCTTTTCTCCATCAAGACTTGCTTAGCACCCTCTTTAAGTTTTAGGGATTGACGGTATTGACGTTCGCGAGTTGTACGGATTATACTAACGCAAGATCTTATACCAACAACTTCTATTGTGTTCGTTCTTCGAGTACCAAAGATAAAGCAAAAGACCAAATTTTGTCGTCCAAAGTACGTAGTATATTTCGGGACAAAATCGCGGGTAGAGGTGAATGCTTAGCTGGCTAATGATCGTGCACGCACGTGACACGACGGAGTACCAAATGGCGGGGATGCTTGACCGGAAGCCTTCAGCTAAACAAGTCGACTTAAACAGTGATGGTCAGCATCCAATGTTGAGTGATGATTGCTGTGGTTAATAATTTTGGGGAATTATTTACCGCTACAAAGCAAATGCTCCCTGTCAATTTTTCTGGTATGATTGTGGTAAATTTGACTGGGATTAGAAAAATTGTTGATAGTAGTTTCAAGCAGCGCACGCCTCCTGAAATCGTGATCAACTTCACTAGCCAGGGACGTCCGTTACTAGTCGGAGAGAAAAACTGAAGTAGATGAGGTCCATCTATCAAACCAGACTCATATCTGAAATACAGACTAAAGAGGAAATTGTAAGAGTTATACTTGGGTTAACTTAGACCTAAATTAGCCACTCTTACAAATACTTCTTCACCGCTTTATGACCTTAATTGTACTCTGCCTAATGTGCAAATACTAACGAACTGAATGAAGGTAAAAAGACTTGAGATGACTAGTGTGACTGGAACAGAGTTATGTTTACACAAAAGCGATATGAGATTTGATAAAGAATAAGAGGGTATACACTTATCTGCAGTCGAGACGATGGTAAGCTCGGAGAGTGTGCTGGATGAAAGCACAACGAGAGAGGGAAACCGAAACCGTACAGGAGATTCACGAATCCAAAGAGGAAATGGGGGTAAAGATCAGGTGAGTTCGTTCAAACAAAAGTTCGAAGGTTCAATGTACACTACAAAATAACCACCGCTTCAGCTTGAAACTAATGCTGCAAGTAGGGAAACTGATCTGAAACTTGAGGATTTTCGGGAACTTAGTTCTTGCAACCGAACCATCTGCAAAGGTGCAGAGGTTGGGTCTAGGAAATTTATATAAGCAACAGTGCATTCATGTACTTTGCTCACAAGGACACCAGTAGTTACTTAGTAAATAGCCCACTGCATCAACGGTAGCCGGGGAATAACTGATTAGAAGCAGTAGTAAATTATCGCCAGTTAACTGCAGCTTAATGAAGGCCAGTAATCCCGTTGCGACTGCAAATATTGTAAGTAATCCAGAAGCATTCCAAGTATTTTGATTGACATTTTATGTATATTATGTCTAACCTCCGATAATGTGTACTAAATATTACAAGGACTACTTAAGCTGTTATCTAGGGAGAGAAGAGATTTGTTCCTACTGTTATGACGGGTGATCACATATTAGCATTCTGTATTTAATTTAACGAGCTGGAAGCCAACTTAGAGTGCTCCTGTTTGCCCTCTAAAACTTACACCTTTCTGCAGTATCATCTAAAATTTCTAAACACTACGTAACATCTATGCCCAAATCAAGTTCACTTTTAACAGTTTGAAAAAATTTGGGCATTGGGTATATGATGTTCATTATAATAAAGGTTTTCCTGTACTTCCCAATAAATGAAAAAACAATAAACCTTTAATATGTAACATCATCTGTACGTAGAAGTTCACTCCTCATATTATATTGTAAATCAATCGAATTCTCTGTCCAGGTATGTTCTTGTGGGATCTGCTGATTCACTCGAAGCAAGATTGAACTTGCACTGTATGACTAATCCAAAGCACTATTTCGGCCTTAAGCTGACTATCCTTATTATTCTGCGAAATTTAAACAACCAACTTACAACATTTTTACAACTGGATTACTAGCGGCTGGTGGAGATAAATAAAACGGGAGTCGTCCAAAAGCATTCGTCAGGAAGTTTTTTTCAAACAAACCAATTGTTTGTATCCGTCACGGATTTTCTTAGGTCAAGCCACTTTTCAAAAATGAGCACTACAGTACAACAAAACGTTTTTGTGGCAATGATTGATGCGATTAGCTGTCCTCTGAATATAACTTTATTCTTGATATGTGCACTGCTTGTCTATATGAGTCTTCGGCCACTGTTAAGAAAGAAAAAGACCAAGACTATCCAGGTCCCGAAAATGGGTAAACGTGATTTTACGTTAGAGGAGCTCCAGAAGTTTGACGGCAAGGGTGAGCACAAGCGAATACTGATAGCGGTTAATGGTAAAATATTCGATGTCACCAATAACGGACAGGAGTTCTACGGCAAAGGTAACTGAAGTATCATTATGATTGTATCAATAAAGGAGCACCCTATGCAGTTTTTGCTGGCAAAGATGCGTCCAGAGCACTGGCATGTTTCAATCTGGAGACTAAGAATGAGTATGACGACCTCTCAGATCTTACTCCCGATCAGATGAAGACCTTGAGAGAATGGGAACTTCAGTTTTCCGGTATGTTAAGCTTTTTGAATTAGAACCACTGTCTCAGTTGTCATTTTATGTATCTTTAAATCAGTAATATTTGTTTATACATTACCGTCTCTTATACCACACCCCTGAACAGGACATTTTTCGCCCGGTACATTTTGTATTTGTGTTGTTGGTTATCCATGAAGACGTTATAGTATTTGCTTGAGACTGACTAAGTGTGTTCCTAATGTGGTACTGAGTGACTTACGTGAAGTAACTCAGCCGGAATCGCGTCTATGCACTAATACTTATCTGTTTATCCTGACATTGGGACATTTACTTGACTTTAGTCATTACAGCACGTTAAGTATATTATTCAATTGTTAATAGCTGTGTAAGGTAGTTCAGTGAACCCTCAAAGTGGTTCAACACGACACAAAAAACCTGTTTTAGGCAACTTGTAATGCAATAATGTGTAACTGTATTGTCGCTGTGGATATCCAGTTGTTTTGATGTGTTTTGTTACTGACTTAAACTTTACACTAGAAAAGATAATAGTGATCCGGTACTCAGTTCATTGCACGATTTTAAGAGATGAGTTACGCTGTTTTATAAACATTGTTCATTGGTGCAACTATATGACCGAATGTGACTGAGCGAATATTCTAGCAAGATTAGAAAGTGAATAAATATTAGTAAGTAGCAAAGTCAAGGTTCACACTAGTCAGAAGTAACTTAAATAATGATAGGAGTATATAAGTAATTGAGACTTCTTAATGAACTATCCAATGGCTAAATGAATTAAGATTTTTGGAAAACTCTTCACGGACGCTGTCAATTTGAGGGAGGGGAAATCAATCAACGAGGTTGTGGAGTTACACCGATTGAGATGGTTAAGACGTGTTGCGCATGCCTAGCCATCACCTACCTCGACAGGCAGTGTTAGCCGGCATTAGAACAGGTTAGGAAAGAGCTAGTGGTGGTCAAACCAAAACGTGGCATCATTCAATGTAATCCACAACAACTGGTTTAAGCCACGTAGGAAGGTGTGAACTTCCTAGTTGGCGTCCTCGGGATGGTGAAAACCAATGGCTGGAGACAATTAGTGGGATGGCTCAAAATCGTTCTCAATGTCGCAAATGCACTCACTCTTTATGATTTGTTGTCATATCGAATAAAACTCTTCTGTTCTTATATATTGGCATTCTTTTTGCCCTACACTTCTGTTTATTATATTCCCTTTGAATATGTCTTTACTCTCTCCTCTTGCTTCGTGTGCTTCATGAAGGGAGTGTAGCGACTCGAAATGCTGCACATCTGTGCAAAGTTCTATATTAAAACCAGTCGGTCAGAGATTATAAACCAGATGGACAAAGACATGTAGAGCAGGATAGCGTAGTGAACAGTTATGACGATGTTTAGGATTTCGATAATGGAGAGTGAAGATACTTGAGTCATTATGTGAAACTTTCAGTCAACTCACTGAAGGATTTACACCACTGATTCTTAGAGCTTCTAAAAATAATTACTCACTGTACACCCTTTTCCATGGCTCCAACCAGCGACGAGTTGGTCGTCCAAGGGTGACCTGGAGGAGATCATGTGAAGAGGAGATGAAAACGTGTGGGTAGACTTGGAGCCAGGTGAAAACTCTAGCAGAGAACCGAACGCAATGGAGACGCATGGCTGAAGTCCTATGTTCCTCTAGGAACTAAAGGAAATAATATTATATATATATATATATATAATATAACCAGCTGTTGATATTTTCTGTTGGTATCACGCATGGGCCTATCTACTCTAATCCTACTTTGGCTAAAGAAGGCAGTGCTGAGGCATGTAGAACATATCACTCGGTCAGTGAAGATTCCCAACTTCATTTATTAATGGATATATCTAATAATGTAATCTTGACACTACTTTCCATTTCCCTTGGTAGACATTGTTAAGGTCTTGTAGCTTTTTTATATCTACTTTCAATGGCTGTTTAGCGGCTGTCAGCAGGACAGGGTAAATCATTATACTTGCCATTTGATGGGTAGCCGATGTCTAAATTGATATGTGCTGGAGAATGTTAATTTTCCGTCAGTAAGCAGTCCGTTAGTGCCGGTGAAGGTATGGTTCATTTGTCTAGGTGCCCAAAGTCCATCCACGAGGTTACGGATTGAAATCCCGCACCATTTACCGAGATTGGGATTGCCAAGTAGTGTTGGTGCTGCCTATTTCCGACTGCGTAGAAATGCAAGAAGTTCTTGAGTAACGTCCCATTTTATCTTCATAGAATCACTGCTGAGAATTGGAAAATCACTAGTGGTTAACACATTCAACTACTTCTCGTTATCCATAAAGTAGAAGTCAGTGCAGACTACTAATGTAGCACCATGTTGGATCTGACAGGAGTGAACACCTTAATAAGCATATTCAAATATTTCCTCATGAAGTTCACAAAACTTCATGTTGTTAATCTTTATCCTAAAGGTCTATATAATTAGTGACCACATTATGGAAGGTCAGTTCATCCTTGAAGTAAATGAAAAGGACATCAAATTAGTGACGATGGTCCTATCTTTTCGGAATAGTTGTAAATCCAAAGGAACAGATACCTGAGACAATTAACAGGAGATCTTTCTGTAGGTTTTTGATTTGGTTCAAACCCTATTAATTGGTACTCAGAGAATTCATCATCAATAGAAAAACTCCTTTCGTCAAATGAAGGGTAGTTTACAAAAGTGTTTTTCGACTCTGGTAAAGGTAGCGTTATTTGTAGTATACTGGCAATCCTGAGAAAAGAAATTGCTGCTACATCTTGCAATATATTTACTTTCCCAAAAACTATTACCTAACCATACATTATCATCATAGTATTATAACCTAGTGGTTAGTTATCACACCTCAAATATGCGAATTTAGTAAAAGGTAACAGGAAGGAAGACAAAATTGCAGAAGTAAAGTTTTCAGTGAACATGGAACACCTTTTAACAAAGAAAAAATGTAGAAGACGAATGGAAAATGTGGAATCACGATTAGATTAAATGTAAACTGTCGATTAATCTGCACTACTTCATCTGCACTTCATATCCTTCAAATCTGGGTTGTAGTTATCTCGTAGACTTCGGGATACTCTTCTCGTCAAACTGTCGCTTAATTGCATATTGGAATATTAGTTGACTAAGACGATGTTAACTTTTCTTGTCCCAACAACATTCAAATAGACTTTATCAAAACTCGTTTCGTTTCTGCGTTTGTTTGTACTTGTAGGATTTCTTTGTGATGAGAAACTAAATAATTACAAGGTGTCGTTTTGTGTACCCGGATCTTTTCTGCAATATATGAAATTTTATTGAGATATCTTCTGCAGACGGAAATATGTGAAGTAGAATCCAAAGTTTGAAATAGCTGGTAAACTGTGAAATGCAAAAGCCACAGCTCCACTGGAGGGGGAATGCGTTTTATGAACAATGTGATACTATCCAGATTCATAAAACATCAGTTTCAATGCATTTCTCATCATAATGTTTTCCGTCCTGTTGTCTATTTTAATGACTCATTTGCGCTAGTTCGTAGTTTGGTAAATGAAATTAATGGCGTACTGAAAATATTTCTGCACAATTATTGCCTCGATAATTATTATGTATGGAGGTCAGGCAATGTTCATTACTGTTCAGTGTCATTTTTCAGGAAAACAAATATATAGCATAATTTTCTTATAATTTAGAGCGTTATGACCATATTGGACGACTTTTAAAACCTGGAGAACCACATCGAGTTTATGAGATTAATGATGGAGAAGATGAAGTTGGCGGCACAAATCATGTTGTTCAACGTAGTTGCAAGGAGAAAGTAACCTGATAAACGTTACACTGACCTGTTTCAAGTATTTTGTGTATTTATGTAAGCATACCATTGCAATCTTTTTTTATTTTAAATGGACGCTTATTACCAACCGTCCATATTTGTGTTCCTAAACATAATGATTTCAGTCTTTTGGTTTTCGATTTGTGCAATATTAATGCTATTAAGTAATGAATTCTTGTACACAAATCTGTATATGCTGATGTGAATCTCTTTGAAATTTTGGCTATTTAGTGGTTTTTATTTCTGGACATTTGTTTGCTTTCATTACTACAAATGATTTGTAGAACGTTTATTTCCCACCGGGTTGCTAATATCTGTTCACATTGTAAATATTTGTAATGTTTTTAAAAAATTCTTGATCCAGTTTATTTTCTTTTTTTTTGATATTTGTATTTTGGCCACGAATCATTTTTTGTCTAACGCTAAATGGCTAAAATGTTTCTGTTGGCATGTAAACATGCCTGTGACAAGTGAATGTTGATAATGTGCACTAGATTAGTAGTAGGAATGTACTCTGCAGTTAAGACAGAAGGAATGTGGAATCTCATACAAAATCTCATCAGTTAAAGCTGTTACAATTAAAACAGAACACTCAATTTTATTTAGGTATTCCAGAAAACCCTGCATTTTGTCAGCGTCTCCGTCTAACAGAACTATCTTCTATGAGATTCTTCCAGGTACCATATCTCTTCTGGATCGGATGCAGCAAAATAGTTGCCTACATCAGTAATTCTCTAATAAAACTTAATAAAAACTATAACAGTCGACGCCATCGGATATTATTGGTTGTCATCATACCGAGTAATAATTCTTTCTAAGCTCTCACTAGTCTTCATTAATTCTAGTACGGGGCCTTAGTTTGCAGGAATTATTAAATGCTGATAATACATTTTGAAAATCAAAATAAATTCTCGGCCGTTTCTAAAATTATGCGAGTTGTATTATGCAGTCTAAAAGGAATACCTTTTGCTGTTTAACACCTTTCTCTATGGTTTGAATACACAGATATTATGTTTCTCTGTATTTCAGATGTTGGTTTCACCTTCTATGTAGGTTTCGTTGATCTCAACTATAAGTTGGAAATTCATCGTTTTTGATATCAAATAGTCACGTGTGATACTTGCTGTCTATTTACTAGGGTGTGACTTAATAGTTTTAAAAACCCAATGTTTAGTCAATGCCACATGTCCGGTTTTATGTTTTCCTCAAATGAGACAATCTGGTTTTATCGACCTCTGTCGAATCGCTTCACGTTTAGGACAGTATTTTTTCTAACTTCACTTAGCTTGAACATCAGATAGTTTGCTTATATATATCACATAAATGAGTCTTGAGTGTTGCGTTTTTCAGGTATTCAGTAATAATATATTCATAAAGTCACATTGTATGTTTTCGATCCTCACATTATACTAATATCATGAAACCTCACATGGAAAATAAATTCAGAAGATTGGTTAGCAAATAAGTAATTTTTTCTGAAGCATACACCGAATAAACAGAACGTTACTAGATATGGGAAATAAATTTTTATTAATGCAGGAGATATGCAAATGTATTTGCTTCGAATATCACTCGAAAAAGAAATTAGAATCATCCCCTTAGTTCGAGATGTAACAAAAAGCATACAAATAGTTAATAGAGATGTTTTAACTAAATGAACTGACAGGCGGTTATGATGACAAAACTAACTTAAGATTATTTTCCGTACAAAGTTTGCTATTTTTCATGAAAAGCAACCTTCTCTTTGCAAGAAAGATGTCAGCGAATTCCCTTCCAGTGACTTCATTTTATGCATTATCTGGAGGAAATTTCCGTGGATCTTGGATGACTTAAAAGAGAAAAAATCTCAGGATTGCAACTACTAATTAACCTGTCAGTTTTTTTTGTAGATTCTACATTTGAACTACTTTCTTTCATCTAGAAAGTTGTGTAATCTCTGGCAAATGACGTGTTAACTTTAAAGGTTAAAACGACTTGTCATATGTATCTAGGCAGATGGGTTATTTTGACGAGTCAATGAAAAAGTTATCAGGATTTATGAATTCTTACGTAATGAGATACAAGAAAACAACGAAGTACAAGTGCAATATACCACCAGATAAGTAACGTGTTGAAAGGGAGCGAACCAGTTTTTGTGGTAATTTCATTCAAAATACTAAATAAGCGACATGGATTGACTGCAGACATTCATATCATATTATGTGTTATTTCTGCTTATTTCTCAATTCATAAGTTAGTTTGACTAGCTGTTCTACTAATCAGATTTACAATTTGCAAATGTAATTAGCATGCTGCAATGTAAGCAGTTCGAGGGATAACATTTCACTGTGTTTTCCTTTGGAAATCTAATTATGCAGGTCACAGTATGCTATCTGCTTGATACCATAAATGGTGATCAAGAAAGAAAGCATATTTGCATAAAGCTATACACTACACATTGATTAAGATGAGTATTTGTATACCACTCATATCTACTAGCAATGCTTGCTAGTCAGCTCGGTGTGATCTAAGCATGATTCGAACTGATCTGATTCTCTGAGATGAGCCAAACTGGGTGTATCCCACTAATGAGCTCGGCCCCAAATGAGGGGAACGGCCGTCTGGTGTTTAGACCACCTCGTTCTGGCTAGCAAGCACTACTGGTTGAAATGAGTGGTATACAACTACTCATCTCAATTAGTCAGTAGTATATAGTTTTATACTGACTGTTCCATCTTCAGCACATTTGTGTTCTTTATATCATTAAGAAATTATCCAGGGAAACACATTATCATATGATGCATATACGAATTTAAGTGAAAATGCCATCAGTTTGACGGGACTACTGCAATTATTCAAATGAACATCCGGGAACTCATTGTCCTACGGAGAGAGTTGGTCACTGTATTAAATATGACTCGATCTGATGAATGTAACTCTACTGAACACCTCCTCGTACTGGTCTTTATTAGAGCAGGTTTGTATTTGACTACTTACTGAAATATGGGTGCGGAACTTTGTGGGCTCTGCATACTGTAATCGTCAAAATTGGCCCATTTTTCCTTTGATATGCACCTAAAAATATGGCTGTAAATTCTCATGGCTAGTTTCATTACTTCCACATTATTTGTCAGCATTAGTGTATTTTTTTATTATTCTGTCATGCTTTTTAACATCATATGTTCACTAATTGAATAACTCTTCACATATAACTCTCTTATATTCACATACATTTCTTCATAATAAATAATGAGTTTTATAGAAAATGTTTTGAGTTCATTTTTTTTCTGTTTCATTGTCTATAGAATGCATTGTAGCCAGACTAACTAGTGTATTCATACCAAACCTGAAGGGTTTCTATAAAACTGAGATAATTCATTATTCTAATACTTGTGTTCTTCAATGAATGAATAAATGAATGAATGGAAAAAACAATAATAAAACGAGACTGCTTGTAATGACGTCTTGTTATTTGATGTTAATACCTATATCAAAATAATGGTAAACTGAAAATCCATAATATCAAAGTTTACATATGCTAAATCTAATCAACATTCCAATGTGTGAACACGTTTTTGTTGTATAGTATTTGAAAAGATAATGATTATGTGTTAGGCTAGGCATGTGTACGCCTGAGTTACTGTACAGAGAAGAAATCTGTCATGGAATAAAGCTTAGGTAGAATAAGCACTGTAAAATACTTACGGATTCTAAAGGATATGGACTTTGCGGGTGATTTATGCGTAATGTCACAAAAACTCGAAGATCTTTAGGCGAAAAGTTGGCTGAAGAGGCAGACATGATTTCAAGTGAACATATGGAAGTCAGAGGTGATAAAGGTACCCGGTCACTGCCAACAACAAGCATTAATCACTATCAGCAGAAGAAATTTGAAAGATGTCACCTCTTTGGCGGCATTGTTTCAACTTAAAGCTCGGTTGAGAATGTTAAAGGCAGGATTCTTCGTTAGTGTGGAAATCTGCTGCAGTCTACATAAAGAACTTCGATATGGCTCATAGACTTGGCACAGGAGTCACAAAAAGTATTTTCAACAGGCTTCAAACTTTCACTAACAGCTATCCTCGTTCCATACTAAGGATTAGATAGCCAGAAAAGATACGCGACGCGGAACCAACCAAAGACCTGTTGCCCAACAAATATCCCGAAGAGAATCGGGATGGATCATACACACACTGAGAAGGTCACTGAGCGACATAGCAGGCCAGGCTGTCGAGTGAAATCTGAATGGAAAACGGCGAGTTAAGCGTCCAAGGGTGACAATGAGTTGATCGTGGCAGGAGTAGATGAGAGCTTATAGACAATAGTGAATCCATTTAAAGAGGACCCCAGAAAGCAGAGTGAAGTGGAGGTGCGCTGTTGAAGCCCTATGTTCCACTTGGAACTCAAGGTAATAGTAACAGAAATAATTATAGTAGTATTGGAACAAGTAGAAGAGAATTCAGTCATAGCTTTACACTTCACATTATCATATCACGAGACAGTTTTTGATGACATTGAAATTATTGAGAAGTAATAAGGGTATGAAGTCTCTTCACCTAAAAAGGAAGTAGAAATGAAGTGCCTGAACAGAAATGAGGGGATTAAGCACAGCTTGACCTAGTTTCAATCCACCCACATGAACTTATTTTGTTAAAATTGCTTGCGACAAGAATTACAATCAATAACACATTCAAGTTTACCATTCATTAGCTTATCAAAACTAGCATACTTGCTTGCATGTATTAGTCATCTCCTCAACAGTTTAACATTACAGAAGTATTCGCGCGAAAGGACTTTGATTGGACTGCCATACATAAACTTTGATTTTGTAAACGTTAGTTTATCATTACTTTGACTAACCTATTACTTTTGTTTTTACGAGTTGATCACGGTGCGTACTGCTGATGATTCCCAAACTAGGATGAAACAGCTGTCCAGTACTCCCTGGTTTTCAATGGTTATCTAACTGATATCAATCCGTGATCAACTCGTAAAAATAAAACTAACCCTTACAAACCAGTCTATAGAAAATTAAGCTATTACTGCCAAATAAGGGAAAGTTAATAAAAGCAATCTTATTTTGGTTTCCATTCAGTAGGAAATGCAAACAACGTTTACCCTAATCCAACATTTTTTTAAAAACCACTAAAGGCCAACTTGGTCTAGACATTTGCAAAATGA